CAGCCCCTGCCTCGCCGGCGGGCTCTGTGTGGAGCTCTCCTGGGCAGATCGCTACGGCCACTTCCCCGGCCTGCCGCCCACCTTCAGCTACGACAAGGCTGAGGGCTATATCTGCAGCTGTAAGCCAGGCTTTACCGGTAAGATTCCTTTGGCGAAAGCTTGGGAAACCACATCCGGCGGGATGCTGCTGTTTAGGCTTGGACGCAAGCAAACATTTACGTGTGCTAAGATGCCACAGTGCGCAGGGTCCCTCTGGTGGTTTCCACACACAGGCTTCAGTAGGGATTTGGGTGGAATAAAGGGAGTGGAAAAGGACCTGGGAGTGTTGGTCAACAGTGGGCTGAACACAAGCCAGCAGGGTGCCCACGTGGCCAAAAAGGCCAACAGCATCCTGGCTTATACCAGAAATAGTGCGGCCAGCAGGAGCAGGGCTGTACTCAGCACTGGTGAGGCTGCACCTTGAGTCCTGGGTTCAGTTTTCAGTGCCTCACTACACATTTAGGTGCTGGAGTGTGTCCAGAGAAAGGCAACGAAGCTGGTGAAGAGCCTTGAGAACAAGTCTTATGAGGAGCAGCTAAGAGAACTGGGGTTGTTTAGCCTGGAGAAAAGGAGGCTGAGGAGACCTTACCATGCTCTACAACTACCTGCAAGGAGGTTGTAGCGAGGTGGGAGTCGGTCTCCTCTCCCATGTCACAAGCCATAAGACAACAAGAAACAGTCTCAAGTTGCACCAAGGGACCTTTAGGTTGGATATTAGGAAAAATTTCGTCACCCAAAGGGTTGTCAAGCACTGGAACAGGCTGCCCAGGGAAGTGGTTGAGTCACCATCCCTGGAGGTATTTAAAAGATATGTAAATGAGGTGCTTAGGGATCTGGTTTAGCGGTAGACCTGGCAATGCTAGGTTGGACACAATCTTAAAGGCTTTTTCCAACCTAAACGATTCTATAAGTTGGTGGCACAACTTGCAAACTAAACAAGGGAGCAGCTGGCTCCAGGTAGCCCCTAAGGTAGCCCAGACAGTCGGAGAGAGACATCGTCTTTTCCACTACCTTGTCTGCAAAGCTTCATCGTTCACTACCACGTTTGCCTGAATTATTCCAGGAGCTTCAGTCAGCAGGTGTTTTATCATCAGTTTGAAATTTGCTGTGCACAGGTGGTATATTACATAAACAAAACCAATGAATAATAAATGAGAGAGCATTCTCATAAAACAGCCATGAAAAACCACTCCCAAGCTTTCGGTGTTTCTGTCTATACACCGCTTGTGTAATTTTACGTAGCACCAAGGGCCGGCAGGAACACTTCTTCACCTGAGCACAAGGCAGCAATATACAAGTTTGGCAGCGTAGGGTGGTGGTGGTATTCTACCACTTAAATGAAAAATAATCTCAGGTTTTGTGCATAGTTGTGTTCTTATGGGGGGAAAAAAACCTACTGAAATTACAGATAAACGCAAATCTTAACACAACTTTTTTAGGATTACGGTTAACATAGCCTGCACTACTTAGTAGAGCCACTAACAAGTTGGGTTTAGATTGTGCACTTCTGGGTCTACAACATTTTTCTGTCAACTCCATTCTCTTATTCCTTCTGAAGAAAAAAAAAGATTAAGAGTTGGATTAATTTAATCAGCCTTCTATTTTTCATTCCCTTCATCTCCTGAGCAGCTTATAAACTTCCCTGTGTCTTCCAGTGAGTGGCACACCTACTGTCTCCAACATAGCAGGTACAAAAGTGCATGGAGAGCACAACTTTCACTCTGAATTCCTAATTCATTTCTCTTCAAAGTGGCATTAAGACCTGTTTGCTTTCTTTCAACCCTTTCCCCTTAACTGTCCTTCCCTATCCTGTCACTAAGTGTTGCTGTTGTTCTTTTGTTGTGCCTAGGAGAATGTAAGGCTTCTATTAAGGCTCGTGATATTCCCCAGGCTATCCTTATCTTTCAAGTGCCACTTCTTTCTCTTCACCTCCTTCCAGCAACCTCCACCTCTCAACTTCCTTGTCCTCCCCTCTTGTCCTAATTTAAAGACTTCTATTATCTGTGAGACAATGCAAAAGGTGTTTCCTTGTTTAATCATGATCCTTTGTCATCTCATTTCCTTATCAATTGCCTTCACCTGGCTTCTTTACCTAATTTGGGTCATGATTCTGCTGATTTCATCCACAGGCAAGACTCTTCTGCTCCTTAGGGAGTACAGGCAGACATCTGAGTGGTCTGAAAAAGGAGTGTCAGAATCTGTTTAAATTTATTTATCTTAAATCCAGTTTTTCCATGGATAAGCTCCTCAGGCACAATACAGTACTCTCCAAAGCATGCCTGAGAGAAGTCTTAGAGACTCA